ATCAAACGTGTTCAAAATTACAACCTGGAGCATGATGCAGGAACCATACATCTTCCAATCATTACACAGATGTTCCGTGTACCAGAAAAGTGAGGCCCGCATTCCAGTCCGTTGTTGTAATTTCGAACACCTTCTTTAAAGATGCCATTGTTTGTTTTTGTTCTTATTTGTAGGTTTCTGCTGAACTAAACATAATAAAAATTGTTCTGCCTGATTGTTTGCATTCTTCCTTTTTTCATTTTGGGTCATCACTACCGTGCCAGGAAAGCGTTTCCGACCATCTAGGTGTACTCTATCTCTCCTGAAATTTTGTCACCCCTGTACTGATACATTCTGTAGAACTGCCCCTCTTTTTATTTATTTATTTATTTTTTCCCAAGGTGCACTCCTTACATTTGCTATGTGATAGGCATTATGTGATGTTATATAGATATTATAAACTGTAGTCTAGATATTATAATTTATATAGATTTATTATAGTCTATATATATAGATATAGATATTATAAATTGTAGTCTAGATACTGTCTAGATATTATAAATTGTAGTTAAAATGATTTGCATTCAGTTGTAAACCATTTCAAAAACAGATGATTTCTAATGCAAACAAATGTTCACGTTCCCCTTGACACGCTCAATTTGCGTTCAGTTGTAAACCATTTCAAAAACAGATTATTGCTAATGCAAACAAATGCTTATGTTCTCCCTGACAAGCTCAATTTGTGTTCAGCTGAAAATTCAGTTTAAAATACAGTGTAGGAATAAAATCAGGCAAAATTTTAAACTCTTTACGCAAAAGGATATTTAGCATAGGAATTTGGGTAAACATACCAGATGAGATGTACTACGCACAACTCGTTAGTTGGTTTCGTCTCATTTAATTTTTCAATGTTTGCAAGTTTCTAGGTAATTCATATCTAAATATAGTTAAATGCATAATAAGCAACAATTGTATGAATTAAAAATATTTAAATATTCTTAAGTACCATGATAATTTAATTAAACAATGATAACTGCAAGGGTGTAGCTAGAGGGGGGCAAGAGGCAGCATCTGTCCCCGGGCGCAGAATCCAAAGGGTGGCAAACTGATGGTACGCCATTTTAGAATTAAATGTTTTCCATCCTTGGCAAGCAGTAGGGGGCACGAAATCTTCAGTTGTCCCTGGGCGCTGAAAACCCTAGCTACGACTCTGGATAACTGCATGTATGGTATCAGTGTATATGGACTATTTGAATGCCGTGGCAACTTCACCCTATTGGCTAGTACACTTACGCAAGCAACCAATAAACTGTCGGCGACAAACAGATACTTAAGCCGCATATAATAAAGATATCAAACAAAAGCTCAAATCCATGAATGCAGGAGTTATATATAGTGATAGGATGAACAGTTTTTAATAACTGTGTTATTGCCTAAATAAGCATTAAAAACTGAAATTAAAAGTCTATTACTTTTCACTACTATTAAAATTTTGTTCAACACAGAAAGAGTTTTTTTTAATGAACTCACATAATATGATCTTGGATTTGTGTCCCGTCTGAATTTCTTATTATACATTAAAAAAATATTAAAGCTTTATAATAAGTTGTTAAATTATTTAAAACTGCTTGATCAGACAGGTAGCTATATCAACCAGATCTTATTAATAAGAAAAAAATTCTTAATCTGAGGCATAGAAAAATGAAGAAGAATAAAAGTCGTCATGATTTTTTTTTACTTACTTATAACTGTCATTTAGGTCACTGGTATTTTTAGGAAAGCAGTCACAATTTTTTATTTATTTATTTATAACTGTTTAAAATGCTATCTTATTACTTTGATGATATGAAAAGTTTAACAAATGTTCTCATTTCCTTTCAAAAATGAAATAAAATAAAATATGTTCTTTAACCAGCTTTTAAAGTGTTAACTTTGTTTGAAAGAAAAAAATCTAGCACTCTTAAACTTGTTTAAAAAAATACATGCCAAACAAAATACAAGAGTTATACTGTTTTTAAATTTATGATTTTTTCAGCTCCTGCTACGTTTTCAAAAGTAAGCACACATTACATATAATCTGAGGGAAGAATTTACAATATTCAAAACTATTTTTCTAATATAAAAATTATTTTTCGTTTGGCGGGTAAAGTGCAGAATTGCCCACTTATTTGTTTGGCGCTTTTTACAAGAGTAAGGAGAATTTGATTTTTGTCAATTTTATTTGACTTTTTAAGTGAAAATAGGTCGAAGTGTACATGGAAAAAGTCAAGGGCCATTTTTGTGGAATTCTGGGATTTTTTTTTTTGTTAAAAGTTTATAATTGAGTGCCCCCGCCAAGATCGGCGCCAGGAAGGCACAATTTCAAGATGGCCGTTACACAAAACCAAAATAAGAAGCCAAAGAATTGCACAAACTCTGTGTCCATGTACACATTGATCTATTTTCACTTAAAATAAATCCTAGAATTGCACAAACTAGGCATTCCGCACTGCCTTAAATTTGTCCATGTACACATCAATCTATTTTCATTTAAATAAAATCAGGTAGCTAAAACAAATTAAAACTACAGTGTCTCCAAAAAGTGATCAAATAAATTTAAAAAACATGTAAAATATTTTGTGGGTGTGTTTCATACTTAAATTTAGTAACAATTATTACATAACATACATTTTCTCAAAATATTAAAATATTAATTTAATAAAAATACAATTGTTTAGAACGGAGCAGAAAATGGCTCACTTAAGTGATGGGACACTTACTTTTCCATCAAATATTTATCCAAAAACTTTACTTTTAAAAGGTTTTAATATTTTGTTGGATTTCCTTTTATTTTTAAAACATGATTTAATCTTTTTGGGATGGATTCGACTAATTTCTGAAGTGATTTTACCCCATTCTTCTTGAAGCACCGATTTTAATTGTATTTTGAAGAAATGGTGTGTTTGCGAATTCTTGATTCCAATTTTTGCCAAATATTTTCTATGTGATTTAAGTCTGGAGATTGTGGTGGTGTTTTTATTATTCCAGGAGAGTTATACAGCAGCCAGACTCTAACGTTCAAAGCAGTGTGCTTGGAGGTCATTGTCCCTGGTAGAATTTAAAATCGTTATGAAGGTTCAATTTTCGTGCCGAAGATTTCAAATTTTGATTTAAAATGTTAACATACTTGTGCCGATCCATTATACTGTCAATAAAAACAAGATTACCAACAACTGCAGCGGACGACATACACCCCCATACCATAACTCCTCCTCCACCATGTTTTACTGATGGCACCCAAGTTCTGTTTGCGAAATTCTTCCCTGGGTTTTCTCCACACCAAGATTCTACTGTCAGAAACCAAATATATTAAATTTACTCTCATCAGCAAATATAACTTCATTCCAGTAATCAGAATTCTATTTATGTTGGATTTTGCGAAAGCCAGTCTGAGTTTTCTATTCTTTTCACTTACAAGAAGAATTTTTTCCTGGCTGCTCTACCGTGATATCCAGCATATCGAATTACTCTTCTAATAGTCTCAGGATTAACAATTACTCCATATAATGCTTGTAAATCAGACAGCAACTATAGGAGCACTCATTCTTGGAGTTTTTTTTTAATATTTCGAACGATAATTCGCTTTATTCCATTTGGATAGCTTTGATGGTCGGCCAGGTCTTCTGTTTATCCTGAATCATATGATTCTTTTTATATCGTTTAATGATATTGAAAACTGTTGTAATGACTGAAGTTAACTGTTTCAGTAGTTTCTCTAATAGATTTTCCACTCGTTCAATATGCAAATTAATAACTAATTTTCGAATTCCAGGCAAAGTTTCTTTCATTTAGCATTCATGGCTGCACAGAGCTTAAAAACACAAAAATTCCAAAAAAAAACTGGAGAGAAATACTGCAGACGATTTTATAAATTATTGGCAATTGCTTTTGAGTAAAAATAAAAAACCCCAAAAATACTTTTATTGCTTACTTCAGACGATTTTTGTTGCATAGTACATAGAAGTATCTAATGGTGTCCCATCACTTATGTGAGCCATTTTTTGCTCCGTTCTAAACAATTGTATTTTATTAAATTAATATTTTAATATTTTGAGAAAATGTATGTTATGTAATGTTGTTACTAAATTTAAATATGAAACACACCCACAAAAAATTTTACATGTTTTTTAAATTTATCTTATTGCAGTTTCCTTTTGTAAAGCACAAGTGTCCCGTCACTTTTTTGAGACACTGTATAATGGTAACCAGAAGTGAGGTTTCACCGCCAAAATTAAAAAAAAAAAAAAAAAAAAAAAAAAAAAAAAAAAAAATGTCGCTAATCGAAGGGGCACACAATTCTACATTAGAGCCGTTTTTTCAAGTGAAAATAGGTCGATGGGTACATGGAAACTGAGTATGTGAAATTCTTAAAAACGCGCCAAGCAATATTAGCTTATAATAGCGATTCGGCACTTTCCCCATCTGCTCTTGTTTAAGTTTACTTTTGGCTTCTACAGTACTAATTATTCTTATCCCTAAATACTATTTCACTGAAAAAGTTTCAGAATCTTTCACAATATATGATTAAAAAAGATTACGTTCATAACAATAAAAAAATCATTTAAAAAAAAATTTACACATTTAACATGAACAAAGATTCTCAAAGAAGCAGACGACATCGGACAGATGGATGCAATAACTTCCCTTCATTTTATACAAAATTTATTAACATAGAAAAATAATTTTGAGTGAAAAAAGTGTTGTGTTATTTAAGATATTTAATTATAATATTACTATAAAATTATGTTCTTAAAAAGTGAAGTGATATATTTCAGAATTTTCTTTTGCTAAATACGGCCGCTCTCAAGTCAAAGTTCATTCCTATTTTATTTCTCGTATCCTATGTAGGTAATTTTATCCATTTATGTGGAGAAAAGATAAAGTTGAGATTCTTTTTCTATTAAGGTAACAATAATATATAGTTTAAAATTTTCGCTTATTAATATCTCAAATTGATTTTTTTCATAAGATGGCATCATTCACATGGAATTTAATAGTCACGTGTAATTGTTGATAAATCGTTGTCAAATAGGGATGTTTAACCGCTTTCGCTTTCACTTGTTGACCTGATGGAAGAATTTCGTAGAGTAAAGGTTCAAAGCTGAATTTCTGCATACTGTAACGCCATCCTTAAAGTGGTAATTCTATAACAAATTTCTGTTTCTGAGAGAAAAGTTATCGCTGATATTAGTAATAAAAAAACTTCTGTATAGTTTTGAGTATTGACATTTTTTCATTTTTTGTTCTCATTTCTTTAGGTTCATAATGATATTTTACTGGATTCCCGTGTGTTCCTTGTTTTTTGTTGTTGATGCCAGTAATTTGAAAAATGCGTCTGTTACATTCGACAAACAGACAGGAAAATTTGTGATTCACGACTTCATTGCTGAGAACTCAGTTGCATACGGCACCTTTTTGGACGAAATTTTTACGACTGGGTGTGTAGAAACATTTTTATTATTTAGTGATTAATGTCTGAAAATCAGAGTCTTTTGAAAAGACTTAATTTTAAAAATTTGAATGCAAAAGAAAGGTACTACAAATGTGTATTTTTATTTATACTGTTAGCTTTTATTTTATATACAGACACAGATTAATTATATGAATCATTATATGGTGCAGGTTAATTATATTCGTCTCGGCTGCATTAAAGAAATTTTAATATAAATATGTATGTTAAAACTTGTTTAAGGATTTACTGGTTATGAATTTTAATGGTTAATTATGAAAAGAATTTGATGGTTGTTTAGAGAGAAAAGTCTTATGGATAATTTTTCAGATTTTAAAAGTTGCCTTTTTTTAATGTATGTGTGTGCATAGATTTGTTGACACTTTGGTGAATGTATATGGTAAGTAGTATAATTTTTCCTACATAAAATGTGTACCAAATGAAGCAAACTAAATTTCACATCATTGGATCCATATTGAAGAGGAAGAATTCTGATTGCATAAAATGTTAAATCCTTAATGACTAGGAAACTTGGCAGTTGAGGTGGATTCAATTAATTTTTTATTTAAATTGACATTTATGGTCACAATTCACTTGGCACTCTAATCGTGCCTATTTCCAGAACATTTACATTTCTGATACTGTTTTGACAGGAAGAGAGCACAGTGAAATTGCATCCCCAAGTAGCACACAGAGAGAAGATAAAGTGTGCAGTTATCCAATGTGGAAGCTCGCCAAGAGGAAGTTTTTGGTTTGGGTTAGAAAAGTTTCAGTTTTCGAAATTTTGAGTTTAGGTTCTGAATCGGTTATGTTATAGCATTGCATAAGCCATGCAAGATGGATTAATCTGGAAATGACACAGTCCAGAAATGTTATTAATTTTTTTAGAATAAAGAGGAAATACCATAATTAAAAACAAAGAATTAAGAGGCTATTCTTAAATCATAAAGCAGATTTACATAATTTTTATCTTGCATGTATATATAAGAGTATATATACTATATATACTCTTATATATACATGCAAGATAATCAGTGCTGAGCATGTATAATTTAGTATAGGGCCAAAAATTAGGAAAACGTTAAATTGGGAAAAACTGAATCGTATTGTACAGTAGCTATTTGACCTCCATAGTCTATGAATATGAAAAAGGCTGACTTGGCTAAACTTATTATATAAGATGCAGTTAATGGCCACTAGATGTGACTGGAGGTTTTTCAAAAAGGGAATATATACATATATAATTTTAATTTATAGTAATTGCTTAAGTATCTTTTTTATTTGGTTATTTCCTCTTTCTATTCTAAAAAATAAAATGCCAATGATAAATCTTTCTGATGACTCTCATCTCAAAATTAATAGCTAGTAAGATTTTTATATAATGCAGATGGTGCTCATATTTACGTAATATCAAAAGTAAAACCAAAATCTTTAGCCAGTGATGTTTTAAATGGAATTTATGAAACAGTACTGAGAAATAAAGTAAAAAGGCTAATCTTTGGAATATGGTAATGGGTAGTTTGGCGACATTTTGGTAAGGCAATAAAGGTTACTAGCGGTAATTTCTTTACTTCATAGAAATAAGTAAAAAAAAAAAAGTTTTTTGTAAACTAAGCTTCCACTTAAAACTGATAAAATCATCAATCAATTAAAAGGAGAAAACTAGTTTATTGTGAATTGTAATGAGAGCAAGAGATTATCTAATTAAAAAAAAAAAAAAAACTCATCTACACTGTTAGTTTATGAGAAATAAAAACGTGAGGCGTTCGTACTTGATAAGTTTATAAAAACAATGGCTTATTCTTTTTGCAGTGCCATTCGATTAATCGATTTCATTTTTAGTCGCCCATCCTTTGATTATTCGTGAGAAAAACTGTAGATAAATTTCGTGAAGTGAATTATTTAATTCTTTATATTCCCATTAAATTATAAGAATTTTTTTCTTTAGTTAATGATTTTATGAATTTTAACCAAATGTTTTACTTTATAATTTTTTTTTTTTTTTTATTTCTAACCTTTTAGTCTCAATAACACCTTATCAGTCAAATTAATCGATTTAAGAATATAAATAGTGTTTATACGGTTTTAAAACGATTTCGATAAAGAATTCAAAAAGTAGATATTTTGGAGTGAACGTTTCTAGCAACAGTTTATTATTTGAAATGAAAAATATCGCCTGCTACTTTTAATTTTAAATAAAAGCTTTATAAAATTGTTCGTTATTTTTTTTATTTTCAACCTTTTACTCTTAATAACACCTTATGAATCAAATTATTCAATTAAAAATCACAGTGTTTACACATTTTTAGAAGAATTTTGATAGAGAATTTAAAAAATATGTTTCTGGCAATAGCTTATTCTTTAAAATGAGAAATATCGTCTGCTACATTTAAATTTATTCTTCTTTCGCAACGTCATCTATAAACAAGCTCTGAATTGAAGGAACTGGTTATTTGAATATTTTGTTTTAAGTTCAGTTAATTAAAAATATTTTCACATATATATTTTTTAAGAATAGTCAGTTTTGACTTACACAGTTAAAGAACAATATCGAAAATGGAGTTTATTCAGCAACAAAGAAGCTGGTGAATTCTAGAACTTGTTAAAACAAACAGTCCGCAAGCAGCTTTATGAAGGAAAACCTGCCAAACGGATGGATAGGACGACCTGCTAGTCTCAATGTTCAGCATTTTTGCAAGTGTCTACCACAGCCAGTGATTTTTATCTTTGCTGCACTAACCTACAACTTTGAAGGACCTACAGGACAACATCTGCGTAGCAGCCAGTTGCATCACACCGGTTGTGTAGTTTTCTGACATTTTTTTAAACGAAAACAGACCACTGTGATAGACACGAAGAAAGGAATAGAGGAAAAAATTGCAGAATGATTCTGATAAAACTGTAAGTGTTTTATTTACTGTGCTACTCTTCTGTTATCAGGACTGGATTCAGACATGTATGTATGAATGTATGTGTTCGTGTATGCATGTACAGTGACTTCCAAAAGTGTTCATACACTTACGATTTTCATTGAAATAGGGCTCTATCCATTAATTAAAAGTAAACTTTCTAAATGAGATTTTAATAATAAGATCTATAATCTATTCATAACAAAATTACACGAATATTTGGCTAATCTTTGGAATATGGTAACAGGTAGTTTGGCGACATTTTGATAAGGCGATAAAGGTTACTAGCTAGGACTTTAGCAGTGTACATGGATAAAGTCAAAAGTATGTGCAATGCCATTTTTTTGCACTTCTGGGATTTTTTTTAAGTGAAAATAGGTCGACGTGTACATGGATACCGTGTATGTGCAATTCTTAAAAACGCGGCAAGCAGTGGGCGATTCTGCACTTTCTCCCAATTTCGCACCTAATCTTCGTCATGATTAAGCACTTTTGTTCCATAAAAGTTCTAGCATAAGCGTAATTCAGCTAGCAGATTGTTGGAAAAAAATGTTGAGGGGGGGGGAATGCCTTTACTTCATGGAAACAAAATGGCGTCCCCCCCAAAAAAAACTAGCAGGTTGCTGTAGCAGGGTTGGTTGCCAAAGTTTCGCCAAAAAATTGCCAAGTTACCATAATCCGAAGATTAACCAGCAAAATTAGTTCTTAGTCATGTATCAAATATATTATCGTCTTAATCTAATATCAGTAGCATGAGCTTATTCTTCACATGCCTGCCTGCTTCTGTTCAATTATCATTAGTCTGGTGCTTTCTTTTCATCAGAGGGAATTCTGTAAATATCTAAAACGTACTCTTGTGCTTGTTGAATTGTGGGTACATTCTCTGCAGTGTTTAGAGTATCACATTTTATTTTATTACAGTGACCGTGAACCACATGTGGCCCATGAAGTAATTTTTTTTGGGGGGGCATGAACATATATATCAGTTGTGTTATAAATATAGTGTTGCAAAGATTTTAAGATTTTAGTTAATTGAAGTCATTTACATTATTTTCATTATGATTGAAAAACAACATGAATAACATACTAGAAAAATCTCTAAATGGAGGTAAGTTATAGTGTGATATAAATCTTATTAAAGGCTTAAGATACAGATTCTGTTAACTTTTATTCCTGTTTGTCAAAAAAAGTTCAGAATTCATAAGAAAAGAATCTGATTGACAGATGAGCATATACAGTCCATGATGAAGATAATTTTGAGTAAAATCTCTCCTAGCTTCAAACTTTATCAATGTCAAAACAAGTAACAAATATGTCCGCATGTAGTAAGTTTATAATAATAAGAAAATAAGTTTAAATATAAGATAGATAAATTTATAAATTAAGAAAATAAGTAGAAATAAAGTTTATAATAATATACATACAAACGTATGTATTTTTATGTATGCATCAAAGAAAAATTTACTAAAGAAGAGAAGGAGACTAAATTGTCATTTATTCTCAAGTTTTGCCATGCTTGGGAAGTTTTTCCTGAAAATGTAGAAAATTTTCATAATTTGTTTATTTTTAGTTAAATGTTTTTTAGTTTTTAGTTTAAATAATTAGTAAATTATTTAATAATTAATTAAGCATATTAGAATTATCTGAGATAAATATCACTCTAAGAATGTTATATTTAGCTTCCAACATTATTTGAATTACAAAGGGACAAAAATGTAATGCAGGTACTAAACTTTTAATTTCAGATAGAAAATAAATATAAATTTGAATTTTTTTCTGTGAAAAGTATTGTTTATGTAGATTTTCATGAATATTTAGTAAGAGAAATTTAAAAAAAAATTTAAAACATGTTTTATTTTGTTAATAATTTTTTGTTTCCTTAAAAAGAATTCTGGCCCATCAATCAGGTCCCACCTGTGACCCACATGTTATTTGAATTTGGGATTACTGTTTTCTTATACTTTGATCAAAATGACCTGTAAACATTTTACAACTGCTTCATCATTGTATAAACAATGCAACTCTATTATCATAACCTCCAAATTTTATATGCAAAATTAAGTATTGATATTCATGCAAGAATATTTATCTTTGTATTTTTTTAGGTGGTCATATTTGGAAGTGAAGACTAATGATTTATTCTCAGATCCAATGCAGGCCTACAGTGCTGGCCTTGTTGAAGGATTTCTAACTTCTGATTTACTTCGAAAGCATTGGAATAATTTAGCTGCTGATTATTGCAAGGGAGAAGAGTCTTACTGTAAACGCCTAGGATCATTTCTGCAGAAAAATTTAGATTTTATAAACAGTAATGTAAAAACTAGAAGACAGTATAATGTATATTGGCATCAAGTAAGTGTTTGTAAGGATTATTTTAGTTAAAATATGTATTTTTAATTAAAGCTGAAAATAAGCTGTGGATGTGGTCTAACAATGTGAAAAAATCTATAAAGCTGTTAAAAAGATAAGAAATATGTGCTGAAAAGCAAATGGAAATTACAATTTGAAAAGAAACTTGGTATTACTATCTTATCTCATTATGTCAAATTCTTTGCTAATTTTATCTTCAGTTTTCTTTTTGATTATTGACCAGACATCTTAGATTCTATGAATAGCCTCACATTTCACTGCAGTGTTGTGTTTCAGGTTATGTCCTTAAAAATGTCATTCTTTAAATTTTCCCAAAATTTGTAAAGTACTTTCAGATTATCTGCACACTCACTCGAAAGTCACAAACTCACTGGTCACTTCAGAGAGCATCTGCGAAATCATTGCTGACTAATTTTTGGGTAAGCTAATGTGCAAAAGGCAATAGCCATTTTCAGAATGTTATTGCACTAAGAATTTCATGCAAGAGCAGTCAATCAATAAAATTTAAAAAGCAAAAAACATGAGTAATAAAACTTTTTTTTTTTTGTGTGTGTGTGTGCTGTCATTCTTCCCATATGCACAGTGGTGTGCTTCCACTAAAAGAAAAAAAAAAAAAAAAAACACTGAATTGCTAAAACTCATCATCCTTACAACTTTAGAATTGTGCGCTAGTGAAAATGTGTGCTATGTGCATATTTGAGATGAGCTGTCACATGAATACTTTTTGGTGTCAGTGTAGGCTACTATATAACTATTTTGGGAATATGGTGCTTTACATAATGGCTGTTTTTTTTTTTGTGACTTTTTCATAGTGATCTGTAGGTAGGTAATACGAGTACCTTTTGTAAATATCATTGACATGAATTTTGTTGATTTCTGTATGGTCATAAAGATATAGATATTTTATAAAATAAGAAATATAGTCAGTTATGAAAGAATTGTGCTCTCTAGATACACATTTTAGTAAGTTTGTAAGGTAAACAAAAAGTTTTATTTTCTAAACAGTTTCTTTATTTTTATTCCAGCTGCATTTCGTTCTTGGAAAATGGATGCTCATTAATTATATCATCTGAACCATTTTGCTTATAAACAAATAAATCGAGGAAGATTTTTCCTATAATAAGAGTAATCAGGTTTCTTTCAAACTGAATATTAGTAACTGTGCTGACTAGGGACAGTGGTAGCAAACAGGATTTAAGTTGTAAATATAGTGATTAACTTGCCATGATTGCCCTCTAAGAAAGTGGATATTGCATATTTCTGAATATAAGCTAATCATGTATAAGAATATGTTTCTTCTTCAAAAAATTACCCAAAATTTAAAACCTGTACATGAGTTGACCTGGAAAAAAAAAAATTCTCGCCACATTCAAACATGTCACCACGAGTGTAAAAGTACTGTCAAGCAGGCAAAGCGAGTGAAATATTTTCCAATCAAATAGCTGTTAAGTGCCAGATGCCAATACAATAGTTTTAACTCTGAAAAGCAGAAATTTTTAAAATGGTAGATTTAGTAATGGGTCAATGGGTAAAAGATACATGGGTGGAGATTCCATCTGGTTTGGTTTGATATATTTGGCAAAGCACATAAGGGCTGTTTACCTAAGGGAAGGCATGCTTTCATAGATAATTTTCTGTGAGAAACTAGGTTGCATCCATATTACACTTGGGGAAAATACGAAATTCCCATGCAGTCAGCCCATTTGCCTGGAATCAAACTACCAGTGTTCATCAACTTTGCCGCTTGTCCACTGGTGGGCCTAAAGATTCCATTTGAAATATACTTCATTCTTTTAAAAAGTGCTGCATCAGTAAATGTATGGATGGCAGGGAGGATGATTTTGTGTACGAAGAGGATATAATTTCCCGTCGTTAAGTATTGAAAGTGATGATATACATTTAGACATCTCAATGAATGAAAGTGAATTTTCAGAATTATTTGGAAACTTGAATTCTGGGATAGGACTTTGAAGGATTTAAAGAGGTTGTATGCACATTTTTTAGATAGTTTTCATTGTATTTACAGAAATATTTTAATTAAAATATTTGTGTTTTTAATGTTCCATTTGATAACTTATTTTTCGCTATCTTTCTATACAGTAATTTCCAAGACAAAGCTTTGTTTAGTAGCAAAAGAGATATTTTATCCCATTCCTCTTGAACAGCTTTCCAAAGTTCAAGGAGGGTTGTTGGTCAATGTCTGACGATTCACTTTTTAAAAGTCTAAAAGTGCAAAAATGTATGGATGATACATCAGAAGATTTAGTAGGGATATGTGTGCCTTGATACACATTTCTTGTTTCATTTTTTCCAGAAATTTTTATGTTCAGCTGCTTGCTTTGTCTTTATGCAGTTCTATTCATTGATGGCACTGTGAGTAATCTTAAGGTATTTCATATTTGAAAATTGGGTATAAAATATGTTTCTGGTTGTTCCTGTTAATTGGGTATAAAATATGTGAGGTTGACCTTAACAGTTTTGTGCACTCTCTTTGATTTTTTGTTTGTCATTATATCAAAAACCAGCAACAATCATAAATCCCTGTGAAAAACTTTGTATAGATTTTTTAAACCATGTTCTGAGATTTTTGTCTTCTCTTTGATGGTAATAAACGTATCTCTTCTTATTCTGGTTATTTAAATGTACCCAAGATTCATATATTATGACAACATTTTTCCATTTTTGTCTGAATAATTTTCCAATTTGTACATTACCTTTTTTTGCCTTTTTAAGATTCAAATCAGCATTAATCACTTTGCAGTTGACACTGAGCATTTTAATGATTATGCAACTGTTTCCCAATTTTGACTTTGTAGGTTTTCTTTTAACATTAAAGTTTTTACCTCTGTTACATTCGAAACATTCTGTTTCTTTCTTGGATAAGTATTTGGAACAATTTTTCTCCTTGAAGCCAAACTTTGACATTTTCCCCCTTTCTTATTGACAATATTATCTATTGCTGCTTTAGATACTGAAAAATCATGCCTTTCACAACATTTTTTAATAACTGATAATAAATATGAATAATAATAAATAAGAATTTTAAAATAAATACAAATATTTAATAATTAAGATTAATTTAATAAAACTAATAATAAATAAGAATAATTTTAATAATAAATACAAATAATTTTCTTTGGAAAGAGTGTTGGCTCTGACTCCAAATTAATCTTTATAATTAGAACTCCATTTCATCAAATATCCACATTTTAATCCACATTTTCAATCAAAGTTTATCCACATTTTAAGTTAATCCACATTTTCAATCAAAATAATGTTTATTTTCGTTTTTAGAAAAAATGTAAACAACTGTTTAGAACAACATCAATAATCTTTTTGTTGCTAATCCAAGAATAGCAAAATTGAATAATCTTTTTGTTGCCATTCTCAAAACAACAAAAAATAAATAAAAGATTAATCAGTATTTAAAGTTTCTACATAAGTTCAAGCCACAACAGTACTCCCTTGTCAGTAACTAAGTTATGGTAGAGCATATTATTATCTTTAAAACACACTTTTTACAATACATGTAAATGCTAATCCTGAAATCCCACAGGAGTTTTATTGTCAGTTCTGTATGCGACTGTTTCGCAGGAAACTTGTTAATTTTAGAAGGTAAGTGTGTCGGAGGTCTGACAGGTTGTCTTATTGACATTGTTGGGTGTTTTGTAGTAATGTCTGGTGTTTGCAAGGAATATGCAGGCTTTAGTCTATCAATAGACACTATAACATCTTTGCGATTAAGTTTTTGGACATATTTATCGAATACTGTTCTTCTGCCCAGTTTGTTCCATAGTTTTCTTTTAGCTGCTTGACAAAAATATCAGGTGGTATAGAAGTTGGGCTATCATGAAAGAATTCTCCATGTAATTGTATATTTTGTCCATAAACCATTTGAGCTATGGTATATGCAGAGTCTTCTTGCAAAGCTGTGCATAAGCCAATAAGAACAGTTGGAGTGTTTCACTCCAGGTTAGGCTATTGTGTGCCATAAATGTGATCTTGAGAGATCTATGGAGGCACTCAACCTTCCCATTTGCTTGGGGTTGGTAGACCATTGTATGTTGCAATTTTATTCCACACATTTTTGATAGGTTGTTGAACAACTCTGAACTAAACTGTGCTCCACGAACTGTGACTGGACAACATGGCGTCCCAAATCTTGAAATCCAATTAAAATAAAGGGCTTTAGCAACTGTGTCTGCTGAAATGTTGTGGTGACAAGTTATGCCAGTTAGAGTACCGATCAGTGCAAGTGAGACAGTAAATATTCCCATTTGATGGTGGTAGGGGTCCAATGAGATCAATATGCACGTCACAAAATCTTTCTGATGGCAGTTGAAACTCACCAAAACTTTATTTTGTGTATTGATCAATTTTACTTTTTTGCCAAGCCATGCAAGATCGAGTCCAAAGCTGCACATCTTTACGGATACTTTGGCCAAATATATTTAGACGATAAGAGCTTTACAGATGACTCAATGCCAGGATAGGCTGCGTTATGCATTTGATGAAATATTTTCTTGCGATAACTGTTAGGGATATTTTGTCTGATATTATTCGTTGAAGTTTCACACCACAAAGACTTCCTGAAAGGCAGCAGATACTGCTTGAAGTTCAGGGAAATTGCCGATGTGTTCAAATTTTGCAATTCTTTATCCATAATTTGTTCATCTGCAATTTTATCATAGTCGATCAAAGAAATTTCTTCAATTCTAGATAAAGTATCTGTAAAGATATTTGTCTTGCCCTTCTATGTGCTGTATTTCAGTTGAAAATTGAGAAATGTATTGTAAATGTCTAAGTTGACGAAGTGAGGCTTTTTCTGGCTTTTGTGTAAATGCAAATATTATGGGTTTATGATTTGTGAATATTTTAAATGTTCTTCCTTCTAGTAAAAATTTGAAATGTTTGATGGAGAGGTAAGTGAGTGAGAGATTATGGCGCAAAACCAAAGATGATTATAGCACACCAAACACGAG